CTCATCGCAGCTTCTTCTATAAATATAGCACTTAATTCTGCTATATTTTGTTATAGATTAAGCTAACAATTCCTATGTCATGATTCAACGCTTACGAATAATGCTCGAACATCAGTCGTTAAATTGAATACTCTGTGGAATCGTCATTGAATTGAGACACTGAATGGAAGTGATGTTGATTAGAATTAGATATAGATACATCAAAGACATACTTGTAATTATGAAAATCTATATATAGTAAATTATGTACAAATTGTGTTATAACTCATATATTTAAAAAAAACATTACTTTGAAATTATAATTCATTTATAAAAGGGAGGAAACTTCTTACGAATTAAAACGTAATATTGGTTAACTCCAGCTACTAAGGACGTAGTTAAAATAAATTCGGTTTTTAAACTGCTAAAAGTGTTAAATACAAACCCCTATACAAATTAATACTGTCTGAAGATTATGCGAGTAGTACACATTTAGGTAAGCATCTGAAACATCGGGCCCTTGTTAAAATATGTTCGCGTTTTAACCCGTTAAAGTGTTAAACAATTTATCCAACGCTTCTATACCTAGTTTAGTAGCAGTAGTACGACAGCCGCCGCTTGTAACCTTGAGCACAATTAACCCTCTCTTGCCGCGTCATCGCGACCGATTGAATCCTGAAACACGTGATTAAATTTGAGCGGAAATCTAATCACGGCGAAAGCAACGTTATTTATAAATTCAATTGCTGTGAAATTCGGCTGCCGAGCGTGAGATTGCATTACATCCCAATCTTGTTAGACTAGGATTAAGATCGAGATAGTTTACGGGAGATATTGAGAGCTCATCGAGTTTGATTCCCGTCAGCTACAAGTAATATGTAAAGACGGAATGGTAAACCGTGTGACAAAGTATAATTATAGACCTTTAGAGCAACGCACGTACGTTTGTTGCGTTTGTTCGTCGTAAGTTTGACTCCGAACTCTTTCAAAATTACTAACTGCATTTTTTATTGTTAGTGCCTACATACAATATATAACATTTTTATTATATATATATTAAGGTTTAAGACACAAAAATTGAATATCAATGAATTGGATGGATGCACGGATGTTTAGATTCGAATGTTGAGGGGATAGTTGCGCATCTGTACTATCGCGCACGTCATTGATTGAAAAACGTGACTGTACTCGAGAAGCAAGCAGAGCGTCGTATTGGTTCGAGGAAGACAACACGACTGGGGATTCAATCAACGCTAGCGCACATGACGTTCACACGCCCCGCGCCGCTTCCGTCTCTTCGATACCTTATTTTTGACTTCTGCGCAGGATTCGTCTAAAGGTCCGTGGCGCTACTTATACTTATATATAAATTGTGTAAGGCTTTCACGGCCATCATTCAGCATATCATTGTCTTTCGGGCTGTTCGGCCGAAGTAAGCGAGAAGAGGTTAAATAATATAAAATAGTAAGAATATAAAGTTTTTTCTTTAATAATTTACAAGATTTAGTTTCAAAACTTTTAATACGGTTTTAATTTCACATGCATGATGGAATATTGTAAATAAAAATATACTTAGAGTAAACAAATAATAAACATAGATTATTTAAATAAAAAACTTTAACGGTTTTAATCGCGATATATATTAGTTAAACTTTGATAATTATTTAAACTAGGGCCCGACGTTGCGGATGTTTTGAAGCAGCCGTGGTCACAGGGAGACTATAGACTATAGAGATATTAACAAAATATTATAAAACTTATCTGAACTATACGTTATTAGCTCTAAACAATAATATTAGGCGATCAGTTAGCATACACAATGTAGTTAGCACCACATCGTTAGATGTGTACAGAATATTGGGTAGGCTTGTCAGCTTACACGGCTCGGTGCATCACACCCCGTGGCAATCTGCCTTTACGTGCGATGTTATATCTTGAACATATAACGATTATTAACTTACGAAGCATCCTTCTTTTTATATATGATGGAGGTTCGAGAGAGACAAGCATGAGGTTCTTTTGATGAACGGTGAAAATATTCCAGGCCTATAACATCTAAACAAGATGGGCTGTAGGCGTATTTAGGTTTTGGATATCCGAAAATCCACAGAGTGAAACCGACACGCGATTAAGCTTCACGGACTTTTTATCTATGGACGGTGGAAAAATCCGTGGAAATGTCGTACGTACGTCTTACTTTTAACTATATTATGTAAGTTTTTGGTTACATTAAAAAGTAACAAAATATATGCGTTAAAAAAATATTAATAAGAAGTTAACTGATATATTTCTCGTTTCAAACCGTTAAAATGTAAAATAAAAATTAATTGAAACTGTTTTACAACACGGACGAAAACTGAACCAGTATACATAGCGTTGTACACAACCGCGTCAGATCCATTGGTTACAGCAAAAGTGTTTAACTTTATCAATTTAAATAGCTAGTCTATCCAAGAACAACAAGTCTCTATTTGTCTGTAGGCCGTTAAAAAGGAATGTCAAACAAAGACACCTTACAAACAAGATTAGAGTTTACAGCTCAATAAAGAATCTTGAATGATGATGTCTCCGCGTGACCGATTCGCAAACAGCCCCTAAGTCCTTCCAGTCGGCTGGACTGGACGGAGAGTAAACACGAGCCACGGATCCGGCACTAAACGTCTTGTTAGTTCTACACCTTTCCATTTTCGGTATCTCTATGTATTTTTTAGATCATCGAGTGTAACACTGGTAGGAATTAGTCGCGGGAGAACCGAATAACCTGTACATATTTAAATACTTTGTTTTTAATGTTATGAAAAAATTACAACACGGGCATTGAATCGGCATCGTATCATCGTATCACCGTATCAGCTACAGAGTAGCTACGTAGACACGGTAGCTCAATTGGTAAGTCAAACGTTTATTAATTTTTAAGTTATACATATAAAACAGGTATAAATACAGTTATCTCGATATTAAATGGTAGGAATATCGCAATTCCGTCCACTGATGAAAAAGCCGTGAAGTTTAATCACGTTTCGAATTCAGTCTGTGGATTTACGAATATCCGAAGCCAAAATAGGCCGACAGTGCATCTTGTTTAGATGCTTCAAACCCGATGCTTGTCTGTCCTCTATCAATAAAATAAATACGATAAACCAGTAAGTACATATCAAATCAATGCCAATACAAAAGTAAACTAATTTCATTGAAACGCGAAAATGGAGATCTCTAAATAACTATGAAAGGCCTTTTCTTCGTCACAAAAACAGCGCGACCCAGTTCTTAAGAAAATAATTGGAAACGTAATAAAATTCATGAGAAAAGTTCTCGCAATTAACTAGTTTTATTGTACGTCTGTTTCTTCTTTAAATAGCCGAAGTTGGAATAATTGACATGAAAAATTAATGTTGAATTAAAAGTCGATTTTGCCTTGTTCTAGAATATTTGAATAATTTTGATACCAATAACTTAAATACTGTCTGTAGTTTACGCGAGTACTTAGTACACATTTAAATAAAACACTTTTAACAGTTTAAAATGCGATATATTTTAGTTAAACTTGTTTGAAAATTATTTTAATCAATTTTTATCGCGTTTTAAACCGTTAAAGTGTTTTAAGTGTCAATAACATATTATCAAAATTTATTTGTTAAAGGTCTAATTATGAGAAAAACAACTGCAATACATTTCTTTCATAATTACAGTTTAGCTATTAAAATTATTGGTTTTTATTAACTAATCTTAACATTAATTATTATCTTATACAATTTATAAGACATGTACCGCAAACACTTATATTGAACTAGCTGTGTTAGCGACTTCGTCCGCGTAGAATAGTTATTTTGGGTACCAAAATTTGTTTTTGGCAGCCTCCTCATCTTTCTATTTTATAGCTGTAACCGTAACGTCAATCATACAATTTTTTAAATAATTTAAAGAGGCTCAATTCTTTCCTACAAACTTTGTGGGTATCGTGAAACGTTTTCGCAGCGCATGCATCGGAAACCCTAAAATATATTTTCCCGTTTTTTTCACATTTCCCACTTTTTCCTTGGCACGTGTGATGTTTTATATGATATAGCCTTCCTCGATAAATGTTCTTATCAACATATAAAGTTTTCTTCAATTCGAACCAGTACTTCCGGAAATTAGAGCGTTCAAGCTTAGTATTTTATTTTATTTTATTCTTTTACAAAAAACTTACGGCTACTACAAATGAAAATACAAACAGTAAATAGGTACAGGAAGGCCAATTACAAGTTTTTACGTGTAATATACAATTATTTATTATATATATATATATATAATAATAATTATATATTAGTACTAGCAGTGTCAGCGACTTCGTCCGCGAGGATCGTTATTTTGGGCATCCAAATTCGTTTTTGCAAACCCCTTCATTTTTATAAAACTAAGCTATTACCCACGACGTTGGTCGCCTCCCTTCCCGTCGTTCTTGCAATTTAATATTAAAAGATAAACATATCGTTTTTTTAATTTGTATAATTTTCGCAGTCCCGGAAACCCATAATGATGAATAATTCCGATTTTTTTTACATTTCTCGCCGTATCTTCGCTTGCAAAAGTCACAGCGTTTTATAGCCTATAACCTTCCTCGATAAATGCTCTAACCACCACAAACCAACACAAACATATTTACATCAAATACTTAGAATAATTTAACTAAATGAAAACCGCCATCAGTTTACATCTTACTGTTGAATATATTATGTCAAGAAAAATTATTCATTGACGGAATTTGTTTACGACGGTATTCCGCGGAGATTATCGAGGGCTCTTATGATCGGCATGCCAATTCCGGCCCGAATTTATGCCTCCACCGAGGGATACGGGTTACAATAACATATGTTATGTTGATTGAAGGTTGATTTCGATACAAGAGTAAAAAGATACACGTTGACATTCTTGATATATGCTTTGGTTATAATTTAGTTAGGGGTTTTATTCATTTACAAGAAAAGTATATTTCTTTTCTCCTTCAACTAATTATTTAACCTTCAAATCTTAACTTAGCAATGGTACAGCGATTTTCTCAATTTAAGTATGTGTTGTATCTATTTTAATTTTTATTTAAGTTTTATATGTGTAATTCTTATTGCAAAGTCAGCGGAAAATGGTTTACACTGATTACCAGTGTTTCGCATACGAAAATTTTGATTTCAATATACCTTGTTCTTGTTTTGTATTGTAAAACCATTATAATTTATATAAATGCCTTATTTTGTTTCAAAGTTATTTGCATTATTATTATTTCCTTTTTTTGCGCCGATTTTAGGGCCCACCCTCACGTGTAAGGATAAAATAGACTCTATACCTCTGTATACCTTCTTAATGAATCTTCAGAAAGTCTATTAAGAACGCTGTATAATTATAATTTAATAACTTTGAAATAATTTTGTTTTCAGGCAACTTCTGGCCCCGAACCTTCGTCAAACCATATACCTTCCAAATGGAGCTGAAAGCGAAATCAGAACGGTAAGATATTTTCTTACATGAATGTAAGAATTACTGAAATAATTGAAGATTATAATAACAATATTGTGTGCCCGAAATACCGTTACACAAATTTGATTTCCTTAATTGGAGAGAAACAAAAGAAGAACTAACAATGGCCTTGATAAATTCGTTAACTTTTTATTATTTTCCAGTGCTTTGCTAGTCCTATGAAAATCGGGGATCCTCGTTACTTTAACATTATTTTCATTATTTTCTGTGTAGTAACGGGTTTTTTAATAAAGCAGAACCTTAATACTATCTGTAATTTACACGCATAGTACACATTTAAATAAAACATTTCAACGGTTTAAAACGCGATATATATCTATAAGTTAAACTTATGTGAATAATATTTTAACTACGGCCCGACGTTTGGGATGCTTTCCAGCAGCAGTCTCCCCGTGACCACGGCGGCTGCAAAGCATCCGATACGTCGAGGTAGTTAAAATAATTTTACTAATACATATCGTGTTTTAAACCGTTAAAGAGTTTTATTTAAAATCATCGCTTTTGACTTGTCAATCGTGAACATCAACAAAAAAATATTCGCCGTAATAGCTTTCGACTTATTTTTAATGTTTTACATAAATCATTACGAAAGTTTTATTGAACATAATGTTAATGTTAGTAGTATATAGTGGGTATAAAGGCTCATTAAATGGCAACGGCAGATAAAGTTGAAACTGCTGAATTTCGTATTGTGCACAATTTGTAACTGGACTGAAGCGAAGGTGCAAAATACACAACAATAACTGCGCCAAATCCGTTTCAACTGCTATTTGTCTAAACTTTGACTAGCTCCTAACTTGCACTCGATAAACCAAAGATTTATTCATCGTGATAGTATTTGTCGCGGATTAACTGGTGTGGTTTGTGAGGAAATATCTTTTATAGCCGGTGTAAAATAGTGTAAGCAACCGTTAACTAATATATTTCGCATTTTCAAACGTTAGTGTTTATTCAAGTGTATATATATTCGCGTGATCTGCAGATATTTTTTTGAATATTATTAAAATAAATAATACTAAAATTCTAGTAAAATTTTAAAACATCCCTATCACTCGGGACACCTGGACGAAGCTCGAACTCGCGACCTTCATTTACATTTTTAATTTGAATATAAATAGCAAAAGCAATTTTTTTTTTCAAAATCGTATGAAATTAATTTACTTATTTAAATGAAACACTTCAACGGTTTAAAACGTGATATATTAGTTAAACTTATTTGAAAATGATTTTTAAGTTCAGCTCAACGTTTCGGATGCTTTGCAGCAGCTGTGGTCACGGGGAGACTAAAGATGGCGGATGTCTATGACGTTAAAGTAGAAAATTGCTAAGCTAGCGCCTCCTGTTCCGTCGAAGTTGGTATTTGGCGAATCTGGCCGGGAAGTGACTACAGAAGTGACTAACGGATTCCCCAAATACCAACTTCGACGGACATGTGTACTACTCGCGTAAACTATAGACAGCATTTAATTTACTTATTGTTTGTGCGCCGCTATGCCTCGACAGTAAAACGCGTTGTATAACGATTAGCACGAGAGGTCTTGGGTTCGAACTCTGGGAAAACATAATATTTAAGTAAGGCAAGGTAACCAAGGCAACCTACTAGCTAAATCCGAAACATTAATTCATTCAAAAAACGACTTAGAACCATAACCAACGGGATTCGCTACTATTTTAAGGCATGTAAATAAAATACTTTTATCGATTTGAAAATTAATCCAAATGTGTAACTAGTCGCGTAAACTATAGACAATACTTACGTCACTTACTAGAAAACTATCATAGGTGTGTTAGTATGTATAATAGACAGTTAATATCAAAGTATATTAAAGTATTTTTACCTAATTTAATCGCTTGAAAATTATATCTTCAAAGCAATATCAGTTGAAAGAAAACCGATTAACCATAATTTGACAGTTCCAATAAACAAGCCCGGGAGATTCTGTTGCAGACGTCTATAAAGAAACTTTCGATAATTATAACTTTCTCAGTTGATACAGAAGATAAATCTATGAATGTTATTGCATCTTGCGAACTTTGGAATCGAGTTTTCAAAGGGTTGAATTTCAAAGCGTTCCTACTATGGTCATCACATAAATTAGATTTTGAAGCGCTTTGGTTGTGACTGGCTGTTTCAATATTTAAAATGTAATGAGCAAATACAAATCATAATTATAAAAATACACTTAACTGAATACAGCAAAAACACACAGGGTCACAATTTGCAGGTCTTAAGTCTAAAACTACCTCTTCTTAATGTACAAGTAGAATTGGCTCGTGGCAAAGCCTTTATAATCGATAAACGTTAAAATGGCCAAATTTTTCCACAATTCAATTTGTTACTAAGATTTTTTGCCGACTAAAACCGAAATAATTTAGAATTCGTTCCTAGACTCCGATTTAATTACAATGTTAAACAGAGCCTTAAAAAACTGCTGCTTTCAGATTGTTTGTATTTTCTTTTTTGCTTTTTACAAGGGTTTCATTCTACTCCCAGGGTGTTTTTTTGCGTAGTGAAATCCAGAAAATAGTAAGGGTCGAAGAAAATTTACTAAATTGCTATCTATTTCCGTACAAATATCCGGCGACGCAGGATTAACGGCCTTACGGCAGCTGTAACACATTGTCCATGGGCCCTAAGGGCAGAACATAACAAAAGCGGTAGCGGCAACGATCTCATGGGCTCTTTGGTCTAATGGTAGCAATGTATGGCTAATAATCAACAAGTCATGAGTTCGATCCCCACCGGGTTCATCATATTCCTAATCAATTTGTTTTTTCTGAAAAACCGTCTCGAAACATCAACTTCGTCATGTGCCTTCGTTTTACGTTACTTTTAAAATTAAATTAATTCGAAACTCGAAAAAACTGTCTATAGTTTACGCGAGTAGTACACATTTAAATAAAACACTTTAACGGTTTAAAACGCGTTTTAGTTTAGAAAAAACAAATTATTATTTTAATAAAGTGAACTATTTTGGTAATAATCATTCCTGACTAATTAAATAAGTAGATTACCTACGTTATATGGTCTCGTAAAGCAGTAGTCTCTAAAATCGCTTTCGCTCATATAACGTGACCACCCTCTGCTTAGGGTCTTACTGTGCAAATGTTAAAGTTCGGACGTCATAAAACGCTCCGTACCGGTGCTTCAGTGAATTCGCCCGGAAGATACTCTCTCACGCAATTTCTTGACCTCCATTGACTGTGTTTGCGTGAACGGGTTTAATTGGAACATTTTCAGCCGGCACTAAATTTTTTATGCGGTTTATACGCGGATCTGAATAATAGAAGGCCGGTTTTAATAGGTCTATAATATCGAATCATTTATTCCACACACGCAGAAATAAAGAGACACAAAAATACAAATAATAAACAGGGACATCACTCGGCTTTTGTTGCACCTGGAAGTAGGCACAACATCTATTTTCAGTGATGCTGACGCTTGACATTTGAAGTAAAACGGAACATAAACCAAAATATAACATTTTTACATAGAAAAAAAACAACTTAATAAAAAAATAGGAAAAACATTACAGGAAAACCACAAAAATATTTTTTTACATAGCTTTACGTCTACGCAACTTAAGCTGATTATAAAATTCCCCGTTACCCATGTTAACAAATACGTTACCTATTCTCGGAGAATTATATAAAATTGTACAGTAAATCCGATATGTGTTGCTTGCAAAATTATTGTAGAACTATGCAGATATAATTTTTCAAGCAAATAAGTAAAACAAACTTACAAGAAACATTCTGTGTGCATTTTTACAGCACACACGCCTTAGCTAAATTAAACAAGGTGCAAAGAAAATTGAAACCAATCTAAACTTCCTTCGATCCAATTTGAATTTCCTTCGGCCCGTTCAACCGGGTCAGGGCCGTATTTACGGAAATTGGGAACCTTTCATAAATAATTAGGTAAACCGGATTAACAGAGTTTTTAAATAAGTCTTCCCTTGCCACTTAACTTAAAAATAATCTTCTTAAAATTTGTTTTTAAACATATACCTTAGGGAGAATGTCAGTCCCGTAATTGACGTAGTATTAAAAACAAACGGTGTTTTATAAATATCGGATATTTGCTGAAATTAGTGCCAAAACTAACCGAACACTTTCAAAGCTTTTAAACGCAAATAACATTAGATTAAAAAAATTAAAGAACATACTGCAAAGTTTTATTAAAAACTTTTTCTCTTAATACCAAATAAGTATTGTAATAAGTATAAGGGGGACTTTTTCTGAAAAGATTCATGCGCAAATATCGTCCCCGCAGACCGCCCTCATCGTCAAAACGACAGGATTCATAGCCGTCAAACGCATTTACATTATCGCCCTGCTAAGATTATCATTGATTTATTTGTTAAAGTATTTCTGTTAGCTCTAAAATTATACTTCGCGTGGCTGGGGAAGTTTCAATCACTTTAATATAACAATTTACTTACAACATAAAATAAATGATAAAGTATGGAATGTAGTATGTCAAATGTAGAGCAATAGTAACGATCTATTTTGGCTTGAATTAGATTCCCATCCATATCATATTTTTTTACTCATTAATTTAGTAGTAAAAGATTGTTCATTTAGTAAAAGAACTTTTATTTAACTTTTATGTTGATGTTTGGGTGAATTCCCGACGCCATCTTGAAAAAGCATGAAATAATACCTCCAGCCAACTGTGTTAAAATTTGGGATACATTGTCAAATACGATGATAATGCATGCATGTCTCAAGAGAAGCTTTTATTGAAATTGTGTTATAGCTAGATTCGATGGTTAAAGTTTTGAAACAAAAGTTCTTTACAGCAAATAAAAGTTAGTTTTTTAATACTTTACATGTTATTTTGCCATTCCGCAAATTGTATCAACCATATTGAATGTATTCCTTTGGGCATGTTAAATTCCTTACCGTCTTGAATTGAAAATATACAAAATGTGAAAATGGTATTACTGGCGAAATATTCCATCCGCATCCTTTTGAGGAACGAATGAATGAGCCTTTTCGATTTAGAAGCTCATTCGGTCCCATTCCTTTCGTTCGCGAGTGAAAAGAAACAACGTAATTGCAACCGCGGCTTTCAGGGTCGGTCCACGAAAACTGTGGGGCAATCCTCAATAAGGTGATATGAAATTTCCGTCGATATAAGTCACAATTGTTATTGTAATTATTGCACCCTTGTATGTTAAAAGTATCATTTACAACAATAATGTATATATTGTTTAGATACTAGTTATAAAGTTGGACTACAATCTAAGTAAATTTAATATGAAAGAAGCTTCTAAACAGCTTTATTTACTTTACATTTTTGTTTTTTACTCGTAAAGAAAACACAAAAAATATTTCTGTGTCGTATTTCACAAGTTACAGCTTAATACATTTCTCTATTTTAGGGGCCACAAAATGTCTTAACGACGACTGTATGACAAATTTTAGTATCAGAAGCAAAAAATGGAATTGTTATGTTCATTGCATTATGCAGAATTGTTATTTTTAAGTTAAAGCACTTAGTTACAATTGGAAACATTGAGTCGAAATAAAGTACCAGTTTTAACATATGATATTTCTTTGAATTACAAAATTGGAAAATTCGAACACAATTAATAAATATTTCTTTATAAGATACCATGAGAGCATTAGAAAAACATAAGGCAGTTACACATACAGATATTATACAAGACTAAGTAAATAGAGATAAAAACTGTTTTTTGCAGGAAATCGAACATTGTTACTATCACGGCACAGTAAAGGACTATCCGGGTGCATCAGCAGCTTTCCACACCTGTAACGGCGTCTCCGGGGTCATCCATATTGGAAACGAAACCTTCGTGATTCACCCTTTTTACGGCGGAGATCTATCGGTCAGTTGCATGTTTCATCGTAATATAACAAGTATCATCGCTTACAATAGCGTCCGAATCTGCATGTCAGAAGTGAAAGCGGTGAATATTATTTTTTTCTATGTTTTTGTTGCGATTTATTCCTCATGAATACACTAAACTAGTTTGGGCAAAATAGTTGACCGCCATCTTGTGTCGCCTATGCATTCAAAATGGCGGCAGACCTTCACGCTATTACTATTTTCAGGCAAGATAAATAACAATTAAATACAGTTAATCACTAGTAACTTGTAATTTAGATAAGGTGAATCTGTAGGTATGTATTTACATTTAGTCGAAATACTTATATCAATATCAAACCACAGCCAGCAACGTTTGAAATTGAAAATTCAAACACACATCGCAATTACACATAGACAGGTGCATACCGCGTTACAGGTCAGTGCGAATTCTAAACAAAGCGTTACGTACCGAATTTCGTCGATTCGACCGCGACCCGTTTCATTATCGCTAATTAATATTGATAACAGCGGTCGCAGGAATCGCTCTGATTGCTTGTAATTTAGCAAGCTGCTGGCTGATTTCAGCCATTCAATTATACATAAAGATGGATAATTGAATTGATACAGGTTTTACGTCGTTTATATGAATGGTATCGGTTTTAAACGCGAAATATATTACATAGTTAACTTTAAACGTTTGTAACCAATATAGTTACTTGTTTTAATAGAATATATTTTAATTACAGGTTATAATCCTCTTTGGCATACCTTATATGATTATTATTTATATCCATTATATCCAAAATAATCTTAGTATCCGAGAAATCCTTATAATCCCAAAGCTCTCCGTCCGACGAACCGCAGATATCTCCATAATGACTCCATTTCGGTAATCGACACTTGACAGGCGCGTAATTGTAAATGCTTGTTAAAAACATTTTTCATGATAATGAATCTGGATTTAAGGACCGTTTAGCCGTCCTCGTCCTCCACACTCCCCACTTCTTGCCGAGAGAGATTTAATTACTCGCTTTTTCTTTTGATTCAGTACGCCTACTTGTGAATCACGAAAATTCATATTTGAATAATTAATCTCTTAAAACTTTGACTTACAAATGTGGAATCATTTTATATGTCAGCTGCATAGTGATGTTTAGATTTCAAAGTCAAAAGTAATTTCTTCAAGTAGAAGCACTTAAGAACGTCAAACCAGTTATAAACTAAAGGTTCAAGTTACATTTACTACCATTTCTCGTATCAAGGGCGTAGAACGAACAAGAATAACTGGCAAGAAAGAAAAGTGTTTAATTTTCTTTGTAACAATGTTTATTTTACTTATTTAGCAATTCCGTTAGCAGAGCTATGAGAGTAAAGCACAGGTCTGTTTGTAACAGATATTTTAAAAAAGTAAAATGTACGCGAATGTGTGTGTGTAAGCATTTCTTCTTTTAGATTTTACTATAGCTTTAGTTTTCAATTAAGCATTTAACGGTTTAAAACACGATATATTTTAGTCAAACTTTTTTTCAAATTATTTTAACTAGGGTCTGAATTTTCACAGCCATGGGTTCAGCAAAGCATTAGAAACGTCGGGCTGTGTTTTATTTAAATATGTACTACTCGCGTCAACTACGATTGTTTGATAATTTAATACCTTCTAACAAACCATTATTACTTATAATGCCGTTTTTTATTTTAATCGTGTTTATTGAATCTACAATTACCAGCATACTGTCTTTTTTTTAATTTAACTTAATTCACGAGTGTGACTACACTCGTGAATTCTATTTAGATATTAAAGAAGAAAACGGTGAGCAAGAATTATTAGCATATAACAATGTGGACTTAAAAAAACCATTCCTAGAATCAGCCTAACAAGGTCTCCAGGGGATGGAGACCAACTGTCGAGCGTATCTGTCTTGAGCCCCGACATTTATCAAGACCTGATAATCCCGCCCTTATCAAGAGGACCTCATAAATTTACTGTCACTGCAACATCGTTTCGTAATATTGTAAAATAACAACACTTTTTATAGTATGTTATTTTCTATTTTGATCAGGGAAATAGAAATTAAAACAAACCTTTATTTCCTTCGTAAAACGATTATGTACAATTTCAGAATATTTGAAAATGAAACAATGTTTGCATGTAGCCGGTATGTACAAGATTATTTTAAAGATAGAAAACTACAAGTTAATTTTATATGTATAAACCTGTCGAGTGAAGGCTTTCGACAAAGCTATATAGCGACCGAGTGTAAGTAGGACTTTCTTGGGTACCGTTACATGTGTACCGTTATCTAAAAAACTGAAAATACACCTTTATTGTATACCTTTAAATTCTCATTGACACGAATTTTTATTTTGCACGGGGTCCCTAGCACTAGAAGTGATAGTGGTGGTGATAAGTGGGAGTTATGTCACCTTCTGTCGAGTATTTACCTCAAGCTTTTCGAGGGCAACAAAATTTCAACTATCACAATTAATGACATATGCCTGGCCTTTTATCTTTTAGATACGGAACCCTGTTAACGAAATTCGACGAAATCTTATTTGAACAAGTAATAATAGTCCCGGAGTACTACAGTCACAGACGAGCCTACGTTTTACAAAGGACATGAATCCTCTCTAAATACATTCAGTGTAATTCAATCAACGCATCTCGCAAACATAATTACAGCTCGCTCGCGTCGTAATTAACTGTAATCGTTATGTAATGAGTTTTACTGCGCATGCGCAAAGGGATATTGAAAATTATGGCTTTCTATTTTTCCCATTTATTTTTAATACGACGATTCGAAATGCCAACGTCATTTACGTTCAAAGTTCTACTTTATATCGTGCTTATGTTGTATTGCCACGTTTGTAAGAATTTACCTTAAGGACGTTTGATAGTAAATATTTTAATTTGAATTAGCTTTATAGATTGCGACAATTAGCCCTACGATTGTGTAATTCTATCACGATCCTTAGCTTAAAATGAACTTAATACAGATATACTTGGAATAAAAATGAAAATCGGGATTGTGCAGGTGTTATATGTTGCAGGTGTAACAGAAGAATGGGTTGTAACTTGATTTGATTTCTTATAACAAATTCCACTATTAGAAAAACATAACAAAGACTAAAACTAAAGGACTATTAGGGCAATATCTGTTACACGACTTGTACGCATTTAGAAGCACTTTTAACGGTTTAAAATGTGAAATATATATTAGTTAACTCTTAACTACAATCCACATCCATAATCATTAGAATTAATTTTGACTAGAGGCTATGCTAACGCGTAGCGGTAGGTACACAGCGGAAACGTCCAAAAGCTATTTAATAATATTATATGCTATATTAAATTAACGAAGAGATTCCCTACCTAAGAACTGAACTAGCAAACCGTATAATCGTGTATTTACATGTGTTTCGGTCTCTTGCGACAGTACAAGACACACGGCTACGATACTGCATCGAGAAGAGAATATAAATCATTTCCGTAATAATGTCACGCGAACGCCTCGTAAGATAAATTTGGCTCCTTACAAAGGACATGTGGCTACAAAGCATGTATAAATGACTATTATTTTAAGAGGAACCTTCCACGAAGTAGCATTAATCAAGCCGGCAGCGAGAACAGTGACTGGCGGCAAACTTTGTCTTTCGAGAACAGAAAGTTGAAAATGTATGATTAGCATCTGAAAAGGTTTTTCTTCTAGTCATTTTTTAGTTGTGAAGGCATTACACAGACTACTTCTAGATTATACATTTAGATTTGAAAAAGTGTATTTTAAGTGTTGTATGAAGTTTACGTGAAACAGTCACATTTAAATAAAACACTTATAGCGGTTTGAAGTGAGAAATATATTTTACAAAAACTTAATTTAAAATGTACTAAATCCCCAAAACTGGCACCCTAATGGACAGTTAACATTGTGAGATTGTTCTATATATATATATATATATATATATATATGCTGTTCCTCCGCATTTAATAGAGGAGTTTAAACAGAACAGAGAAGAAGTGTAATATCTTTTATCCTTATTTTTATATCTGATATCCTAATTTTTTATCCGTTTCACTGGTTGACAGGAGTCGATAAAACTACTGTGCTGTACTGTCCCGCCCGGCTGAAATAATTTATCTTTTTCCCGGGATTCGAACCCTGGACCTGTCGTGCATAAAGAAATGGTAAGCAATATCAGCTATGGTAGCCAGTGACCTATGGGGAATTAATTAAGGGGATCTAATCTTCTTCTCGTTACTTTATTTCAATTCACTTGGTACAATACAAATAATATTATGTCACATAATTGAATGATAGCTTAATTTCATAATAGGAAAGGTAAGCTTCATTCCATATTACGTGGTATTAATAATGAATATGACACAAATACCATGAAGCAATTCACCCGTGTTCCCCAGACGTTATGAAGACACTACAGCAACAGAGAGTAAATTAGCCCTGTCGATGGACACACATGAGAGTCATTTATTACGTCAAAGGTCCACTTAAGTGACGTCATGGATTATGGTGATAGACCGACGCGTATATTACAGGTGGTTCGCTAATAAGGGTTGCGACAAAATGAGGCGGTGTGTTGTTCGGCAACCGCAATCGTTGAATGTACAACGCGTGTTTATTGAGTGTTTTATTTGTACGATTTGGCACTACATCTAAAACTATATACAAAAAATATTTACAGTTATATCTCGCGAGATTTTTTTGTTCATTGGTTGTGCATTAGGTACGAGGTTCGTGTGGTCCAGTAAATTTTATTTAATTAAAAACTAAAAATTATTATCTTAAATCTAATAATTCTTTACTCTTCCATCTTCTAGTATCTATATCTCTATCTATCTCGACTACATAAAAATCCTAGATATTCTTATTAAAAAAATAGTGTAGTATTAAGGTTTAAATGACATTTCACGAGAGGTGAAATGGATGGAAGAAATTAAACAATGATGTGTTAGACGTAAAAAATAGATTGAAAACTTTAATATATTTTTTTTACATGTTATTGCAC